TCCACAGTCCCCTGGTCGCCGATTCTAATGTCCACCGCCCACCCGAGGATCGGGCTTAGGGTGTCCTCAACAACACCTGTAAATCGCCAGCTGGTGTGCAGGAATAATAAAACAATAAATAAATAAAGCTTTTCCGCCCGCACAACTAATGAACGTGGGCCAGAAGAGTAGAGACGAGCGTTTCACGGGACCAGCGATGTGGTCCTCACCAGCGACGAGTTTTTTTCCCTACTTTTCTCTCAGCCACGTCAGATAATAGGTAGCTCGGAGCTGCTTGTTGGGAACTCCCTTAGGCACCTCGCCGCCGTCTTTGATGCACCGCAGAGTGTGGCAGTATGGCGGTGGCTGAGGAGGTGAGAAGCACGGTCGCCTCGTCCCGGCCGACGACAGTGTGCGTCCGCGGTCACTGCACATCCTTGCCATCTTGCATGATGGAGCAATTGAACCAAAAAAAAAAGAAAAAGAAAAAACGAAAACTCGGTCTGCCTTGATTTCGTATTTTCACTTGTACCATACATTGTGTGGCGTGATCCGATCACACCGCTAATTAGTTGCGTTGGTTCTTGTTTGTTCCACAGACCACGTAATCGGATGGCGTGGGAATGGATACGGGTCTTCAGCGCGTCGATCACGCTCGAGCCTAGGTAGTAAGCATTCGCGTTCGTGCCCTGCAATGCCCAGCGATTGAACCAAACAAACTATCCATGATTCTCTTTCCATCGCGGCTGAAGTGGTCCATGTTGCTTTTCTACGACCAAACAGCAGGTATGGAAGCTTAGATAGGGCCAAAGGGGTCCTGGCCACCCTTGCCATCACTAACGAGCTGTTCAGCTGATAAACTGGCTGAAGCTAATTTGTTATAAGAGAAACCACTGTTCAATGACTGATAAGTTCAAACAAACAGATCGTAAGTCTCCGTTAAATGAACAGTAATATGGCTACTGTTCGTACATTTTTAGATAAAAATGATGAGGCCGGCCCCCTCAACTTGCGGGCTCCGGCCAGCAGCACGTACCCTCGGACGATCGAGCTGCACGATCGAGTGCACCACGGTTATATATCCTCTTTCACAAAGCGTCGACGGAGATGTCCAGCTTGGTCCAGAGCTCCTGGACGGCGGCGACACCCTCGTCTTCTTCGATGGCGAACGGCTCGGCGCCATTCGGCCATATTTTGGCTTCCTGGCTCCTCGAACGCGCACACTTCTACTCGTAGGGCAGCCGCCAGCCGCGCCGGACTCGCTGACAAAGTGATGGTAGAGCTAGTTCACAACGTACGTGAAACCAATTTTAATATAAATATAAGCTTTATTTTTGTTAAACCCTAGTATTTTCTAATAATTTTCTTTTAATATCTTTTTTTCATCATTCGAGGACAGTATATATTTTTCCTAACCAAAGAGGACCTCAAGTTAGATTTGGTTGCCGTAGAGCAAAACTTGTGAACTTAATTTGAAATGGAGGGACTACTGCATAGGTCTGTTTGGATCCACCAGGCTAGGATCCAAATAGTCCATAGCTAAACCTAGCTAAACTTTAGCTGGAGGCTAAAATGTACGTCATCTCTTTAGCTATTTCAACCGCTAAAACCAGCTAAAATGCCTCAATGACAAAACTATTCTCAGCTAAAGTTTAGCTAGAGGATCCAAACCCCCAGCTAAAATTTACCAGCAAAAAATTAACTAGCTAAATTTTAGTTAGGGTGGATCCCAACAGGGCTATAATAGGATATTATATTTGAAAAAAATGATGTGGCTTTTGATTAACATGACATGATTTTATCGTGAGGTTATTTGTACATGAAGTATGAGATCTATCTTAACGCATCACTTATTTTGAGCGAACTATTTGAAGCAGACGAAACTAGCTCCAATTTGTCACAAAAAAGTACGAACCCCCATTTAGAAGTACGGAGTAAAATCTTTTCACAAATCAGCTCTAAATAAACCTGCTCGTGCACAGCAGCAAATAAAATCACGGTTTTGCCCTCGGGAAACCCACATTTCCACGCACTAAATGCAACCCGGCCATGCTGTGCGCCACAGATGATCCGGCGTGCCCCCGTGTCTCTGCGGTTGCTCCCTACCGTGGGGCCGTACGCGTGTAGAGGCGAATCGGACACGGACACGTGTCCGGAAGCGACACCTAGGCCAACGGTCGTCTGGTGGGCCTGCCTGCCGTGGGAAATGCGCGCGTTGTCGCACGCGGACGCGGGTCCTCTGTGACATGTGGGCCCCCTGACCCAGTGTCCCACCGGTCACTGGTAAAAGCTGCTTCCGAGCCAGGAGGAGGACACGCGGCGGCATCTGAACCGTTGATGCGGAGCACCCAACGGTCCGATGCCCCCACCCGGTCACCCACTCACCCGTGGTCGCCACGGCGAGGCCGGAAAACGAGCGAACCGTCACTTCCACCACACCTGAGGTCTGCCGTCTCCGTGGGAAATGTTGATTCGAAAGTTACAAATGGCCCCCTGGTTTGTTTTTGAATTGCAACACGACGCTTAGTAGCTTGCTTTAGCATCCAATCTCCCCGATAATCTTTGAGTGATTAGGCCCCGGGATGGCAGGAAGTCAACAACAATGATGTTACCAGGATACCACCAATGGAAAACTTCATGTGATTCTGTCCACAAAGGATGCTTCGTTGGTGATCGAGTGTGTCCAACTGTACACATACGTTTGTTTGTGTTTAGAGGGAAAGCGCATGTGTCTGACAAGTGTGTGCATCTTTAGCCCCTATTTGGATCTATTAGCTGCTAGCTAAATATTAGCTAGCTAACTATCAGTTGCTATTAGTTGGTTTGGTAACTAGTGATATATAGTTATTAATTGGTATTTAAGTATTTAACTAACAGTTAGCTGGACCCATTTAGATTTAAAGGATCTAGTTATCAACGGCTAACAATTAGCTTTATGGATATATATACTTTTTTCTAAAATACTATTTGATGTTCAACTTATTTGAGGCAAATGTGAGCATCACACATCAAGTCAAGGATTTTAACTTGGGTGGACAGGTTCCACCACAATCAACCCAACTAGTTGGACATAGCTCAGTTCACATTCTATTTGTCAACTCTGAGGTCTTTTTTTCCGATTTGTCCATCACATGCTCATGTATTTCCAGTATAATTCAACAGATATAACGTATTTTCTACTTCCTAGTAGCTAGTAGTCTTTCCTCTAAAACTTAGATGCGAGGAGGTTTCTTTTAGAGCACTCTTCCATGAGTCCTCTGCAAGCCTTATGAGTTCAGATCCTCTACCGTGCAGAAACTCACTCTTAGCGATTCATCTTATATCATGAACGAAAAGGAGCCAGTTTTACTATAGCAACGAGGTTTAAGCAAAGAGTGACATTCCCACCCCATCTATTTATCCATCTCTTGCGGCTCCCAGCCATCACCCTCATCATCTCCTGCCACCTTTATACCAAGTTGTTCCTTTGACCCCCTACCCATTTTCATCACCTTTATATTGCTACGACTCTAGCGTCCCACCTTGTCACTCTAGAACCTAACCTTAAGCTTTGTCGTCGCGATGCCTTACCATAGTATTTTCGTAGTGGGGAAAACATGAGTGTTGAATCACACTAATACATCTACCGAGGGAAATTCGGGTTGCCAAAAGAATATAGAGTAATTGAGGGGTTTTTTGGTATGACTTCAACAAACTTGGGCTCCTCTGGCTTCTTATGTTATAATGCAGTTATAGTACTGAAGCTAGAGCCACAAAAGCCCCGCCAAAAGAGACCCTAAGTGGCCCCGTTCGCGTGCCCTTAAACCTGACTTGATCCGCTTCTTTTTTCATCCGGAACAGTGTTTTCCTCTCACAGATTCCTCCAGCATTCCTCCAAACCATCCAAATTCCTCAAGAATTCCTCCAAGCGAACAGGCCTAGTGTCGCTTAGTTTTATTGTTTATTTTTGTTTGAAAGTAGATTTTTTTAAAAAAAAATAGTCAAGAAAAGATAATATATTCTTCAAGGGGCGCAATATCACACGCATGTGCCGGTCAAGAGGCCTTGGCTCGTAGACTCCCCAGTCTTCCTCCTTTCGCACGCCTTCTCTTCTTCCCCCACACTCCCACACCGCCTAGCTCCACTGCCTCCCAGCGGCGTCCTTGACCACGATTGCTTCAAACCCTAGCCTCTTCTCCTTTAGATCCGGTGCAAGCTTCCCTGCCTCCACCACGCCCTAGGCTCCGGTGGTGCATCGCCGCTTCTGTCGCCACGCTAATCCTAGACTCTTCCTCCTTGGCTAATGTCCCTACTGTCTGCACCACTCAACCGACCTCTTCCACTGCTCCGCCACCGTCTTGACCACTAGTATCGCCAGTCAGATGGACTCTCCGAAAACCCCCTTCTAAGCCGGCAACCATGAAAACCCCCCGAAAGCCCGAAACCTAACGCCGCCGCGATCTGGGTCTGTTCAGCCGGCTGCAGCTGTTTTGTCGTGAGAGAAAAATACTGTAGATTTTAGCTGATAAGCCAGCTGATAAGTTCAAGCGAAGATGCCTTTGGTAGCGGTAGGTGAGTTCTCCGTCCATTTTTTTGTCATGGATTAAGCACTTACCATTCTTTATTACTAATACCAAGTAGCTAATTTTGTTCGCTGGGACAGTGGAAAGAAATCATGTGTCATCCCACGGACTAGCTAGTCTTACCGTGGACTGTTTTACCCGTCCGTTAACATGCCAAATGGAGCGAGTAATCAAATCTACAACGGGGGGCTGCGCTGCAATAATAGGGAAGTGCAGGAATGGCGGAGCGAATATAGGACAGCGACGGGGCGCCGAAGAGAGAGAGAGAGACTGTGCGCCCGCCCGCCTGCCCCTCCTTCCTTCCGTCGTTTATAAGCGACGGCAACGCAGGCGAAGAAGCCGGGGAGGGAGGGGCGCACGAGGCAATTTATAGGGAGGAAGAGGAGCGGCCGGGCCTGAGCACAGCTGGCCGGGCCAGCCATCTCTCCTCTGCGGCGTCCGAGTGGGGCGGCGCCCGAGATGGGGGACTCCGGCGGCTCCGTCGTGTCGGTCGACGTCGAGCACATCTCCTTCGGCGGCAAGGTCCGTCGTACAACGGCCCTCGCCCTCCTCCTCCCCGATTCTTTGTTTCTCGGCTGTTTCAGCGTTCTCATGGGAATTCTTTTTGTTTTCTCCTGCTCTTGCTGGCGTTGGGTCTCGGGGTGTGAAAAGATGCCAGCTTGGTGGTATCTGCTGGTGGTTTGGGGCAGAGGAGGGATTGAGCCCTTGAATTTCGTGGCCCCTGGTCGTAATCGGATTTCCTGGGTTGCATTGCGATTGCGTTTCTATTGCGGCATTTGGTCAGTTCAGCAAGTTGTGTTTGTGTCTGTTTGTTGTGTTCTTGCTCATGGATACTGATTGCCGCCCCTTATCCACTCGGATTACGAAGCCGGATAGAATTCATCTTTTTTTTTTTTACTATGGCCCCATAAAACAAACAGCAGCCCACGCCGCGTATTCTTGGCAATGGTTTTTGATGTTTCCACCACTTGCTCTTGCGACCCGCAATTCGTGAAGCTGCATTTCGGAGAGTCGGCTGCTGAAGCAGCAGCAGCCGATTTGGCGGATTCCTCGCCGCTGCGTCTCCGCCGGTCTTCGTCTGCCTACGTAACGTCCTTCCGTGTCAATATTACTCCCCCTGCCCATCGGACCTGACGGTTCTTGCCTGGCCGTTTGGTTTGCTCCATGTATCCAATCCAACCTGGCTGCCTAGTTAGTTGACGTAATCTAGCTCCTCAATCGCTTGTATTGTGTGCGTCTTGTGCCCCTTCATCACACGATTTTAGCGCTAAAGATTCTGGCCCGACGCTCTTCTTGCGTGCTGCTTCGGTGTCCTAACCACCACTTTTCTTGTACCTCTTGTTTGAGCAGGGGTTCCTAAACTGTCTAGTTCTTTATTTGTTTGGTTGGGCTCGTTTGGTGGTTCTCCGTGGAGTGGTTTCTCTCTCAACGAATTACTCGGCGAACGGCCGACCGCTTTGGAAAATTGGCCACTTACTGTATTTCACAAATAAAAAGAGCGCATGATTTTTGTTTTTTTGTCAGTTAATTTTAATATAAATGTTTACCTGAAACTCGTTTTGCCGTAGGAAGACTTCATGCAGTTTGGACAGATGTTCCTCTTTGACTGTGGACTAGTGCCTGATTAAACGGGGTGAAAAAAAAATTAGTGTAGTTTACAAGTCCCTTTCGATGTGAATTTCTTTTAACTTCCAATGGTATGCTTGTGAGCTGGCAGTCAAACCATTCCTCAGTACAATATTTATGTGGCAATCGGATCTTCCTGTGACAGAAAGCAACTATAATTTGTGTTGGTCTTGGCATATTCTTTTCTTGACAAGTATAGTTATGTTGCTTGTGTTATGGTGGAGGAATCATCTGTAGTTCGAATTATGTTCTGTACCACTTCTCTTTGCTGTCCTAGAAGGCAACGGTTGTGGAACCATCACTTTAGCACCACTTTCATCATAATGAAACTATTATATTCTCCTTCTCTTTTCCTAGCATCTTGTCAGCCTTTTTAGTATTATATACAGAAAACAGAGATCCTTCCATCATGAAGTCATCACCTTTGCGTCATTTGGGAGAAATGCTTGCCTTCAAGGCTGAAGCGTCAGTGGAGGACTGCCAAGTTTGCTCCCCTGAAAGAAGTGTTGGAAATAGTCACCTAATTTCTTTCTTGACCGGGTTTAAAGGACCATTTCTCTTTGCATGGTGTTTCTGGGCTGTACCACAGCTTCCACAGACAGCTTAGCTGTACTATGAACTATGGACACAGAAAGTGCATGACAGGCTAACTGTTAAGCATTATATGGATTTAAATAGCTTTACTTTGATTGATGCATTGCTGGTCATGGTATAATCTACAACCACGTCTTCAATAGACTGACATATGGTGCATTTACTAGCCTCAAACAATAGATGATTTGGTAGAAATGTCTTATGCCAGCATCAGCGGATGCGCGCCTACAACTGTAAACAATAGCTGTTTCTTATTTTCTTGTGTAAATTGCAGTGTGGGAAATTTCAATCTTCCTGCTGGATGAAGTTTCCTTTAGGAATTCTCACTATCTTTTTTCCCTTTTTTGACATGTTTTAATTGTCTATTCAGGAACACCATATACAAACGAGTCATGGACCTGTATCTGTTGCAGTGTATGGCGACCATGACAAGCCTGCCCTTGTTACTTATCCTGATATTGCTTTAAATCGTAAGTACTATTCACTTGTTTAAAGTATACCAGTTCTCCCTGCAAATTTTTCTAGCATTTTATAAATGTTCACTCGTTTCCTTGTTATAACTTGCCAGATATGTCTTGCTTCCAAGGACTATTGTTCTGTCCTGAAGCTGCTTCGTTGCTGCTTCATAATTTTTGCATTTACCATATTAGCCCCCCAGGACATGAGGTTAGTAGTTTGTAATTTACTATTAAAAATAAATATGTGTTTGTCCCTAATGTTATTATGCTTTTGTAGTTCTATGGCCTCACTAGTGCTTTTTTTCATTCATATGAGAACCATATAGTTAGGAGCTGCTCCAATTTCGCCAAATGCTCCTATACCATCTGTTGATGACCTGGCAGATCAGGTCGCAGATGTCCTCGATTTCTTTGGGTAAATCCTCTATGAAATTATTATCTCATAAATCTGAAAAGAATATCAAATGATTGGAGTAAACTTATGTTGGCTGGTTTAATTTCCTTCTTCCAGATTAGGCTCTGTTATGTGCTTTGGTGTCACTGCAGGTGCCTACATTCTAACTCTGTTTGCGGTATGTGCTTCAGAATTAGTGTGTTAGATTTATTGCTTGTCCATCAAAAAAATTTATTGAATTATCTTCTTTTTCAGGCAAAGTATAGGGAGCGGGTACTAGGTCTTATCCTTGTTTCACCTCTATGTAAAGGCCCCACTTGGACTGAGTGGTTATACAGTAAGGTAGCTTTGCTGCAAATGACTCTGACCCTCTGATTTTACATATTTATCAAAAGCACATGACTATTAATACAGTAATATTCTCAGGTGACATCCAATCTGCTGTATTACTATGGGATGTGTGGGTTGGTGAAGGAGTGCCTACTTCAGCGGTACTTCAGCAAGGTAGATAAGTTATTTTGGCTTTATCCAGCTTGCATTTCTTTGATTGATCTTGAATAATTTCTTATGGTGTACTCCTTAGGAAGTGCGAGGATTCTCTGAATTACCAGAATCAGACATAGTGCAGGCTTGTAAATGCGTAAGTACCACAGAGCTTTCACTTTATTAATTGTTCTGATTTTATTGTAATATATTATTAAGTGTTAACGTCTTCTGTCATCTTGTAGTTGCTCGATCAGCGGCAGAGTATGAATGTATGGCGCTTTGTACAGACGATGAATGAGTGAGTACACATTTCACACCTGTGTATATTATGATGATTATTATGCAGTGGAAAAACTCGATACTGAATTGTGGGGAAGTTACCATCCTTAATTGCTTTGAATTGATTTTCAGGAGATATGACTTGACTGAACAGCTAAAGCTGCTTCAGTGTAGAACCCTGATTTTTGTCGGCGAGAATTCTCAGTTTCACACTGAGGCTGTTCACATGACATCGAAGCTCAACAGGAGATATTGTGCTCTAGTTGAGGTAACTAACAATCATCTACATGTTTGCCTGTACCTCAACGCTCTCTAACATCCAAATATTACTTGTTTCTAAATACCAAGTCTGGCAATCGGCATGCATTGCAGGTCCAAGCATGCGGATCACTCGTTACCGAGGAGCAACCACACGCAATGCTTATACCAATGGAGTACTTCTTCATGGGATATGGCCTGTACAGGCCTAGCCAGCTGGACTGCAGCCCGCGCAGCCCCCTGAGCCCATTCTGTATATCGCCGGATCTCCTGTCACCTGAGAGCATGGGGGTGAAGCTAAAGCCGATCAAGACGCGAGTCAGGCTTGAAGTGTAGCAGAAGTAAGGGGATGGTGTGCTTAGGGGCTGACATGGTGAGAGGTTAGGCTAACTTGCAGGTCTGTCTTAAATTTTTTTTTTTTGAGGTATAAAGTCAAGATACCTGTTATACTGCCATGTATATATAGGAAAATGCTAGGTTGGTGAGCTCGGCTGGGGGTGGGTGGGTGGGTTCTTGTATTCTTTGATTTGTAGCCTGATGAAAAACCTGTAAATTGGTATTACATTGTTTATGAAAGGAAAGCGAAAGAAATAATAGCAGAAGGTAAGGTGTTGCCAATCATTAGCTGTCTCTTGTGTGCTTTGCCTGCCTTGAAGGGAAGAGGAATGTTCTTGTGAGCTGGACTTGTGAACTCCTCCTAAATCCTCATTCGGTGTACAGTCTCTTATGCCATTATTATTCTGGCTGAAGCTTTTAGATTATTGTTGGCATGGTCGCATTCATTGGTTTCCCATAAAGAAATGTGGTGTCAAGATTAGATGTGGTTCCCCAAAGAAGCATATATCCAGGGAGGGACCAGCTGCGTGTATTTGTTCGATTTGTTTGGTGTTGATTTGATTTGATTCCTTTGCGTTGCTTAGGATTGGGACAAGGTATTTACATACAGACAGGTGCTAATTGGCTTGCAATTCTGTCTTGTTGATGTCTCCTGCTGTAAGCATATATATACGCAGCTGGTACAAGGTTTGGCAGAGTCGCTGCAACATATTCTCTCAACATCGTGTATCTGACTGATTCAAAACATGGTGTATCTGACAGTGTTGGCTTTTGTCACCATGCATGCCTCCAGGAGTCCAGATGGCACTACACTACACTACATTGTTCTGGCTGGTGGCTGCCCATGATCTGGACCAGAGGCGACCCATCACAATTCACAACAGACGATGATGGCCGACTCAACGCACACAATAATTTGCCCCGTTCGGCTTACCCATATTCGGCTTGTTCGGCTTCTTTTTCAGCTGGAACAGTGCTTTTCTCTCACAATAATTCAGTCAGAACAGTATTTTTTAGCCAGTTTCAGTCAAAATTCTGCCAGCCGATCAGGCCTTGCCGAGCCCAGGGTGGTGCCACTGTCACTGTCACATCAGCTCTGCTCAACCTCTTTCTTTCTGTGAAGTGCATTCTTCACCCAACCCAACCCTAGCTAGGTGCAGGAGCAGCCTCGTGCATTTTGGTTGTTTCTTCAGAATCAGAAAGTTGGTTTGGTTTGTTAGCCTGTTGCTCGTGCTGCCATGTCTGTGACAGACACCATGATTTTTTTCCAAGTGCTTGCTGTCAAGTGTCATGTTGCCATGTTGGTACGGGTCATGTTGCCATGTTGGTACGGGCGTTCTTTTTTTCCCGGAAAACACGATACAGACGCTTGGCTTCACATACACAACAAATATAACAAATATGAGACTGATCTAACACTGATAAAGTTACTATAGCTATCGACAAGTGTGTATATATATATATATATATATATATATATATATATATATATATGGATAGTATATTTAGTAGCCAGCTACAAAAATAATTTATTCTGTAGCTCCATTTACGATAATTTTATATACTAATTTACGATAATGTCAATACATATTTATGACAGTTGGGTTACTGATAACACATGGGGATATTTACCATAACGTTATAGTAAACAACTTAGTAAAGAGTTACTATAATCTCGTAAATTAACATAGTAATTATCGTAACTCAAAGTGGCTATAGAATAAGTTATTTTGTAGCCCACTGAGGTAGTAGTTATATATATATATATATATATATATATATATATGCACACCGACCATGAGCCTTGAAGCCACGAGCAGACGCGCTTGAGGCCTTGCGAGCACAAGCCGACTCTACAGAGAGTCCGACCTTGTTAACCAGCTACCAGATCTCCCGAGACCTCTGCGCTGTCAGACAGGCCCGGACGCCGCCCTCGCTTTGCAACTCATCCTTCAACTGATTGCAAACTTCGTCGTACACAAATTGCAACATTGGTGGTAGGCCGCTTGTAATCGCCTCGATTTACAATTTGGTTGCAGCTCCGTTTGTATACCAGTTCCAACTCAGCCCATTAGCCGATTGCATCTTCAGTCGTACACAAATTGCAACTCATCCCTTCGACCAATTGCAACTTCCGTCGTACACAAATTGCAACCTTGGTGGTAGGCTAGTTGCATTCCGGTTGGGTCGGCCAGTTGCAACTGCCCTAGACGGCTGGTTGCAGCTCCGTTTGTATACAAGTTCCAACTCAGCCCGTCAGCCGATTGCATCTTCAGTCGTACACAAATTGCAACTCATGTCTTCAACCGATTGCAACTTCCGTCGTACACAAATTGCAACTTGTTCGTACGCTCGCTGTGTGCCTGCCTCGCTACGTGGTGGGGCGGTGTTGGCGTGGGAGAGGGTAGAGGTGTGTGGCCCTGATTACACAGAATGCACCCAGATGCAATATAGCAAAACGGTATATATATATATATATATATATATATATATATATATATATATATATATATATATATATATATATATATATATATATATATATATATATATATATATATATATATATATCACATAAACCACCGAAAAATAACTAAGCCGGAAATACAAACTGAGCCAGAAACTAGATCACAAAGCCACAAATGGCTTGGGTTGCTACCTGACCTGGCTAGGCAAACTTGTCTGGGCAAGCAACCAAATAGACCCTTGTTGCTTGAAGAAAGTAGATTCGCCCTAGTGCTTCTAGTTGTAGGCAGCATGCAGCAATGGATGGCAACACAGTCAGACGCCATAGTGCACGTTGCACAAGCTATATAGGACTATATATGAATTATTCTACATTTGCACTACACTGAATAGATAAAAGAGTAGCACTGCACTGCACTGCACTGCCCTGAAGTCTGAAGGCTCGGTAGGTTTTTAACCTCCTCTTGATTTTTTTAGAAATACATGTGTTTTGGAACAAATTTTCCGGTGGTTGTGCAACAAATTTATGTATGGCTCGAAGAAGTTCTTCTAATTCTCAGACACCGAGTGCAGAGCAATGATGTCGTCAATTGACTCTGCAAGTTTTCTGACAACATCTGTGGATTTCAGAACCAGAGGCACGTCGACGCCAATTGACTCTGCATTAAAGATAGCTAACACTTAGCAAAACCTTAGTACACATTTAGATATATAATATCTTGCATATGTTTTGATAAGTAGGTTAGAGATCGCTATAGTTTTAAGTTGCCTAATTTAGCTCTTAGATGTCATGGTCAGCTCAAAGCTCGCGTAAAAGCGCGCGGATGAAGGATTGCCGTCCATACACTAACTTCCAGGAGTGTGGGGACATTATATAAAAAACTGTTTATTAACATACATAGGTTTTGAACACTAAAAACCTCAATCAATACAAAACTTATTGTCACAAACAATAGAAAATTAAGGCTTTTTCTCAAATGGCCATTGAACTCCTTGTGTTCATGAGTTGGGACGTATACATAGATGTTTATTCCCAGGATATATATGTCAGAAAGATGCTCGAGGGATATGTTAATAAGCATATAGCCCCTTGCATGTAGAACTTGTTTGGTTGGGAGCTTAAAAGCAATTTTGCCTAACCTCTCTGCTGCCTGTATCCTGGATGCGCCATGTTTGGTTCATGTCCTGATTAGCTGCTGTGCCAGGCAAGTGGATCCTCCGCCAGGCCACTGAAATCAAGCGCCTGGTGCCTGCAAAAGTTGCCTGAGCTAATAATGGTGGTTAGCTGGTTGACTACCCAGGAGATCATGAAACACATCTTAATCAACATTATTTCTTTGCAAAAGTTGTCACTATATTTATCCTTTAGTTATTAAAAATATCGAGACATTTTTTACTAGAAATATATTTTCCTATTCAATCTTATTAAATGAGATTATCTGAGTATCAAACACATGACAACAATGTTCAGGGTGCTCAGCTGTGCTATCCTCAGCCGCTGCTATTTTTCTTCTGATATGAACAGTACAGTACGTGCAGCAATGGTTGTTGTAGGAGCAGCCGCAGCGTTGCTGCAACAATCACAGCTTGTAATCATATATTTTGGTTAATTAGATACATGTTAGTTATACAAAGAGAAATATGTTAGTCGCTGAATTCTTACTTTTGGTAGTAGTAAAATTCTTACTTTCATCGAGAGAGAATGACACTAGGAGTTGGGGCAATTTTCTGGTTTATTTCTCACACAAATGACATGCCAACCTGAGGGGTTGGGGATACATATTTATAGGCTGCTAGCCAGCCAAGCATATGCCAAAATGCTAGTCTTAGATGCTAAGATGCTATCCTAAATGCTAGTTCTACATGCTAAAATGTTGTCCTAGCCAGTCAAGGATGTTGTTCTTGATGGGCAGCAAGACCACCATGCTGCCACAAGGACCATATGCTGCAGCCCCACAAAGATCAGCCAACACAGAGACTTATCCATTATTCTCCCCCTAAGTCTTGTGCACAAATACTTTGAATGAAGGCCACTTTGAGTGACTTTGGAATCAAATTCAAGAAAGTGACATTGCTATGTGACAATGAGAGTGCAATCAAGTTAACCAACAATCCGGTTCAGCATGCAAGAACAAAGCACATTGATGTCCGTCACCATTTCATAGGAGATCATCAACAAAAAGGGGACATTTGCATTGAGAGTGTAGGCACCGAAGATCAACTTGCCGATATATTCACCAAGCCATTGGATGAGAAAAAGTTTTGCAAGCTAAGGAATGAGTTGAACATATTGGATTTCTCAAATATGTGTTGATGCACCCCCACTTATATGACATGTCTTTCCTTCAAGCAATTCAAGGTAAAAGTTGATTGGCATGGCATACATCCTTGCTAAGGACTTGTTTAGTGCATCTAGTCATCTTTCCATTTTATTAGGCTTATTCATGAAAATCAAATAAATTTGATGATTGTATGGTACCACTATTGCTTCTATGCTTATTTTGATCTAGTGGTAGCATATGACATGTTTGTGGGCTTGTAAACCTAGTGTTTAATCAAGAAAATGTGCTCTAAGTGTTTAACTCAACATGGTACAAGATAACCCTTATTTGGAGGTGTGAAGAAGCTTGCCCTTGAATCAAACCGAGTTAAATATCTTTGGCAAATGATCTAGATTGGATCAAATTGTGGGAATATGATCCTCACCCCATTGATTGATAATTGATAATCCTAACCTATCTACTTTTTAACCTTTGTGGTCATTGATGACAAAGGGGAAGAAATAGTGCACAAAGATAGTAAATAGACACCAAAGGGGAGAGAAATAAAGATATAAGTGATAAGGAAAGAATTTTGACATAGGGGGAGAGATGTGACAAAGGAAATGAATCAATTAAAATCTTGAGCACACAAGTAGGGGGAGCAAGCTCATGAACTTATATGGTGCATTTGAATGTGCATTTCATATGTTTGCTTGCATGGCATAAGTTTTAAATTTTAATATCCATGCTTGTGTGGTGTATGCTAGTGGTAGGTTTGAATGATGAAATAAAAAACTAGCATGCATAGTTTATCTAGTGATTTCATTCCCAAGTGTTGTTTCCAAAAGGTATAGAGCTAACCATGATGCTAAGGATGGTATAATGTTGCACTCCGATTGGTATCACGCTTCAAAGGTCTATCTTTTATGC